ATTTTCCACCATCTTAGTTGTTGACACATTCAACATTCATGTAACTCATAATTATGATGTTTCTGACTTGAAGGCGGCAATAATCTAGATGAAGCAAGTAAATTAGAAATGTACATGTTAAAGATTGAATTTAATTAAGTAGCCTAGTTTTTATTGGCCAGAAAAACACATTGGATTCATATTTTATGCAACATTCTTTCTCGGTCACCCACAGAACTTTTTGATAACTACATGCAACAAGATGCACACGAGTTCCTCAACTACCTGCTGAACACTATAGCAGACCTGCTACAAGAAGAGCGCAAGCAAGACAAGCAGAATGGCAAATTGGCTAATGGCACACTTGATTCACAGAACAATAACAGCACCCCACCCTCCTCCACCTGGGTTCATGAGATCTTCCAGGGCACGTTGACCAATGAGACGCGATGCCTCACCTGCGAGACGGTAATAGCACCTCACGTAACTTAACTGGAAACCCTTCAGTCCAATAAGACGGTATCCTGATAGTTCTTCTGACTGTGATTGGCTGTGCTTTTATCTGAGGTGTGTCTTTGGACTTTGCTCTCTCACAGATAAGCAGTAAAGATGAGGATTTCTTGGATTTGTCAGTGGACGTGGAGCAGAACACTTCAATCACACACTGTCTCAGGTCTGAAAGCACACTCACACTTAAACCCAATTTAAACATGAATATGTGTCCGTTTTAATAAACAATTATTTTTCTTTCTGGCCCCTTATAGAGGTTTCAGTAATACAGAGACCTTGTGCAGTGAGTATAAATATTACTGTGAGGAATGCAGAAGTAAACAAGAGGCACACAAACGGTGAGCATTCTTTTCTGCCAGCTGCTTCCTGGTTTTTGAACATATATTCACTGTATATACTTCATGCATGAATGTGTTTGACTCTAGAATGCGGGTTAAGAAACTTCCCATGATCCTCGCCTTGCACTTGAAGAGATTTAAATACATGGAGCAGCTGCAGCGCTACACTAAGCTAAGCTACCGCGTGGTCTTCCCTCTGGAGCTCCGCCTCTTTAACACCTCTGGCGATGCCACCAATCCCGAGAGGCTTTACGACCTGGTCGCTGTGGTGGTGCATTGTGGCAGGTGAGTTGATACAAGTTTTAATGGAAACCAGAATGGACTTTCAAACCTTTGTAAATGTGTTTTTCTTCCTCCTCCGTTGTCTGATTTCACAATACTTGCTTGTGTGAACAGAATCTCTTCATGCAAGCATTTTGAAATCTGTCCTTGCAAAAAAGGAGAACTGTACTGATTTGCTTCCTTGATTTGTAACTTATTTGTGTGTGTTTGTGTGCTTTAATAGCGGTCCAAACCGAGGACACTACATCGCAATTGTAAAGAGTCATGATTTCTGGCTACTGTTTGATGATGACATAGTAGAGGTAAGCTGCCATCCGTCATGTATAAGCATCAGTCATTTACTGAAATAGAAATTTGCAAGATTCAGTGTTCCCACAGTCATGGAAAACATGAAAATATTAGGGAATTTTAAGATAATGATTTGCAGGAATTAAAATATATATAATATACATACAGGTATATACAAAATTTAAAAATTAATAAATAACTAAAATAACTAAATAATAAACAATAATGAAACCATGTAGAGTTTTAATATAATAAATAAATTACTAAATAATGAATGAATTAAGAAATAAATAAAGATTCAATTATTTAATGTATGTATATGTATGTTAAAGGGGTCATATGATGTTGCTAAAAAGAACATTATTTTGTGTATTTGGTGTAATGAAATGTGTTTATGCGGTTTAAGGTTAAAAAAACACATTATTTTCCACATACTGTACATTATTGTTTCTCCTCTATGCCCCGCCTTTCTGAAACACGTCGATTTTTACAAAGCTCATCGGTCTGAAAAGCGAGGTGTGCTCTGATTGGCCAGCTATCCAGTGCGTTGTGATTGGCCGAATACCTCAAGCGTGTGACAGAAATGTTATGCCCCTTACCATACTGTGATGATTGGTGACAAAACCAATAAAACCCATATATATATATATATATATATATATATATAGTTTTTTAAAAGAATTAATAATTCATTTACAATAAAATTATGTTCAAAAATAAATCAAATTATATTAAGTTTATTATAGTAAATATAGATTTTATCTAGTGATGCTTAGTTTAGAGCTAAGCAGAACTAGAAAAATCTTTAACTTCATAAGTTTGGAGTGCAATCTTTATAAAATATTTTTTTTAAATAATAAATAAAAATAAATTTAAAAAGTATATCAAATCATATAGTGTTTTTATATTGAATATATATTTTGCTAAGTATGTTTCTTTACAAATGTCATGGAAAAGTCATTGATTGCAGAATGGTCTTTCTGCATTTTGTTAAAGAAAAGTGTTTTGTTTCTCCCTGTAGAAAATTGATGCCCAGGCGATTGAGGAGTTCTACGGATTAACCTCGGAAATTTCCAAGAACTCTGAGTCCGGGTACATCCTGTTTTACCAGTCCAGAGACTGAGAGAGGCCAGAGTGGCGTCCCCTTACGGACACCTGTGCAGCAGGCGTGCCTGTACCTAGAACCCTGCTACATCCCACCTGCGCAGGTTCTTACTGCAGCGACGTCGCACACACACCCCACCACACCCGTCCAAGCCCACCCTCACCGGTCTCCACGCAGCAGTAATGTTGGATGCAATGCAGTCGCAAGGCCTTTTGAACGTTGTTTGTCAGTTGTAATTACGTTGTGGGAGCGTTTCATCACTCGTGTTCAGTCCTTTACTGTGGAGAGAATGTCTTTAATGTAACAGACTGTATGATACGACCGGGATTTTCATTCAACTTTCATGCTGCGATCTTTTGATTCCTGTGGCTGTGAGGAGGCTGAAGACCAGTGCATGGGGAAAGCAGGTGTGTTTATTATAATGGCGGGGAGGGTCTAAACGCTCCGGGTGCGGGGCATTGCGGGTTATGTATTTCTACCTTGTACAGAGTGATATTTGTATAAATATTATGAGAATTATAATAATATTACTGATATAGCCAAAAAAAGAGGATAGAACCAGAAAATATGTATAACACTATGGTGCACTTTTGATACAGTTTTGTAGATGTTGGAAGGTTAATGTGAGGGTTTGCTTGAGATGGCCTGTTGTGAAATTATAATTTTCTGTTTTAAAGAAAAAGAAATAAAAGTGTATACACCAAAATAGGATGTATGCATGCAAGCATGTAAATACCAGCTATTAGCAGCCTACTGCGATTTGACTGGAGGCCTTTTTCATACAACCAAGCCTTTTTTTTTTACTGTGCTGATGACTCATTCTTGGTCACTGTGGCCCCTCGGTGGCCGGTCAAGGTTACTGCAAGATGGAGAATTGCATAGCATCATTCTTTTTCACCGATTGCTTTCCTCTCATTCCAGCTTTAAAGGTTCTGTGTTGTTTTGCAACAATTCAATTCATTTGCCAGCTTACTATTGCGTAAAATGTGGATGAATCCTTTTAAATTTGCATGAAAGGTTACATATATTTATTGACGCTCAAAAGCAATTCTCAAATCTGTCATTTGAGAGCCATATCGAGCCTAGTCTCAAACTGGAAAGGATTTTATCAGGCGTCATCACTGACTATGCAGTTTAGTCTGTGAGGAGGTGTGAGTCTGTCTGAAATAGAGGCATGGGGATGAAGGCTGCATGGGGTTAGAGGAGAGGGGGAAGATAGTGGGGGAAGTGGGTGACACAGATGAGCGTGCTGTTAATAGCACATGCCAAGAATAGCTCTCACAGGGGAGCAACACAATGTGCATCTTTCCAGAAAGATGCAGTCTGAATGTCAGATGCTATAGATAAATGGGTCTCATCCTACACAGATACGTTGCAATACCTTCTTGGTATTTTGAAATGGGTGCTTTTTCTATTTTGAAAAGGTGGTTTTTAAGTGAATTAAGATTTTAAACGCTCTGTCAAAAGGATGTCTTTGTAGTGTTAAAATATTGCATTTTGCCAAGTCGAGCTAAATTTAAACATTGTAATTAGCATGTTTTAGTGCTTTCAAAAGAGTAACGGGGTTTGGCTTTACAGTTAATTTAGCCATTACCAGATTTTTGCTCAAGGTCATGGCTCTACAAGGTGTTTATTAATTATTATAATAATTACTGTTAATAATTAGTTATTGAATATTTAAAATCATTCTCCTACAAAAAAAAAAAAAAGATAAAAAGGTAAAGTGATTAAAAAGAGATGCCCTTTAAGAGTTCACATCTTAGGTTTTTTCTATTTTAATGGAATACATCATTTTAATAATGTTAGGGATTATGCATAACCTGGGGACACATTTAAAAAATAATATTAAAATAAATTATAAATATACATTTTAATATAATAGATAGCTAAATGATAATTTCTATAGCATATTTTTAAAATAAAATACTATGTTATCTATATATAAGAGAGTATATATGAAAATAAATGCAAAATTATTATATAGTATTATTAGGAATTCGAAAGCATGTAGGTCCACCCCTAAATAAAACCGTCATTGTGGCATAAGCAGACCGTACGAAAACATACGAATGAGATTTTATGAATTCATAAGAATTAGCATAAATTAGTTACGAAATGCCACATGATTGTGTTGCAACCTTGGTGTTGAGGACTGGACAAAAAGGCATCATTGGTGTTAACGAATTTAGACAAAGAAATAAAAATAGTCATTTTTATTATTAAAAAATACGTTATTTTCTCTTTGTTTATGTGTTCATGCAATTATGGCCATTACAACACACAAGTCGCGTCGTTTAGTTTCCGAGGCGAGCAGCAGGTAAATAGGTGTCGGGACCTTCTGCTCTGAGAAGGAAAGCTCACCCCTCCCAGCACCTCGCACAGCCGCAGTCGGTGGCGATGCTCGTGCAGACGGCGAAGAGCCGCTAGTGCTGCTGGATGTAACGATTCTCCGGTCCGGCATCACAGCATCCGATTCCCCCATCCGTCCGCGCGGCGCTGCACCTGTGAACAGCGCTGCCATCAAATACCATGGAAAGACAAGAAGGACGCAAAAACATTTAAACAGGAGCCTCTCCTCCAAAAGACAAGGTAGGGAAGCCTCCAGATGGGGAGTGAATGGGGACCGGCCGGGTATATTTGAAATCAGTCTGCTTTGCATTTTACAACACATAAATGGTTTTATAGAGCAAGAGCTTAAGCATTATTATTATAAAGCTAAAAGGGCTTAGAGGAATTAATGTGTGCATCCAGGTGCTTGCAGTGAAGATGTGCTTTAGGAGTCCATATCTGATGCTGGTGCAGGGGCGCTTTTATAAGCAGTGGAACCCGCCTTTATTTTATACCAGCACTCATCAGGGCCCTCCCTTCCTTTCTGATTCTCCACCATTGTACTGTTCGCTATGATTCAAAATTATCTCAATAATAGCAGGTTCCTATATCCACTAAATACAAGTGAGGTAAATGTGTTTCATTTTTCTTAATTTGATTCTTTGTTCTGCACAAAAGAACACAGAACAGAGAGGAAATGCATTGTAGTGAACAATGGCTTTCGTGATTATTATTGGCTAATTTTCCAGTCATTTCTGTTACAAGAGATGATTATAACTGCCTAATGTTTTCTTGTATGCTTAATTACCATGCATACACTGTGAAAATGTAATGGGAAAAGAAGGCAAAAATTCTACAGTTGAGTTAAGACCCGTCAATTGGTTATCCTATTTTCCACATACCGTAAAAATGATATTATATTTATAGATAAAAATACATGTAATTCTGCAGTAAAATATTAAAAAAGTAAAAAGTATGAGTCGCTTTATAATCTACTGGGAAAATGTTCATTGTACTTATGACAATGTGTATATTTTTATGGTATTTTTAAATGTTTATTTATGTGTATTTATTTATTTATTGTAATTCACAGGAACAGAGGCATTCCCAGAATTCACTGCACAAACCATGACCTTTTTCTATTTTATTCAAAAAGGTGTTTTTTAGCAGTTATGTACAGCATTGTTTTATGTTGCATTTATGCATAAATATTATATTTATATAAATAATAGTTTAAATATTTAAATTATGTATTAAAATTACAGAATTTAATCAGAGAAACTTTAAAATGGTCACCAAAATGCTATTCCATAATGTTTGTAACATTGTCAGGTTTTTTTCTTCACAGTAAAGTTTTCGCAACCACTGCTGCTATTTTATAAATGTAATATTTAAAGGGAAAGTCCACCCCAAAAAATGTAAAACAAATAAATGTATTTACTCACTCTCATGTTTTTCCAAACCTGTATGACTCTTTCTTCTGTAAAACATAAAAAGATAGTATGAATGTTAACTAAAAAGTTTCAATTCCCATTGACTTCCATTATATGGACAAAAAATACAATGGGAGTCAATGGAAACCGAAACTGGTTATCAACATTCTTCCAAATATCTTCTTTTGTGTTCTGCAGTCATACAGGTTTGGAATGACATGAGGGTCAGTAAGTGATCATTGAATTTTCAGTTTTGTGTGAACTATCCCTTGAACACACACACAAAATGTATAATGGAGTATACATTACTTATATTTATTTATTTGCAAACAAAAGTAGTGGATTAATTTGTCTTTTTTCTTTAGACTACCTATACACCTCATTATGTTTTTCTGTCTGCCATTTTAGACGGGAGGCAGAATGAGTGAAGAGGTGCCAGTTTCTCCCAGCTGGCTGGCTCAAGAACCCAGCTGGGGCAGCAGCGGTGCGGGGAGCATAGAAAACATCACCGTCGGAACATACCCACCTGCGGTTGTCCTGCCGGCGAGGCCACCCGCTGAGCTGTTGGTAAACCCGTGGGACATCGTGCTGTGCTCGTCTGGCACCCTTATAGCCTGCGAGAATGCCCTGGTGGTTTTGGTCATCTGGCAGAACCCGGCACTGCGCGCCCCAATGTTTTTGCTGATCGGCAGCCTAGCTCTAGCTGACTTATTGGCCGGTTTAGGGTTAGTCCTGCATTTTACCTTTGCTTACCTGCTACGATCTGACTCGGCACAGCTGCTGACTGTAGGTCTGGTGGTGGCGTCCTTCTCAGCATCTGTTTTTAGCCTGCTAGCTATTACCATTGACCGCTACCTGTCATTGTACTACGCCCTCACCTACAACTCGGAGCGAACGGCCGCGTTCACGTACACCATGCTGGTGCTTCTATGGGGAGTATCGTTATGTTTGGGTTTGCTGCCAGTGACCGGTGTGAACTGTCTGGGCCAGGAAGTGAACTGCAGTGTGGTTTGGCCCCTAACAAAAAACAACGTAGCCGTTCTGTCCGTCTCCTTCCTTCTGCTGTTCGGCCTCATGCTTCAGCTCTACGTGCAGATCTGTAAAATTGTCATGCGACATGCGCACCAAATCGCCCTCCAACACCACTTTTTAGCCGCAAGCCCTCACTATGTCACAACGCGGAAAGGTGTATCCACCCTGGCGATCATTCTGGGCACATTCGCCGCTTGCTGGATGCCATTTACCGTTTACTCGCTAATAGCCGATTATACATACCCGCACCTTTACACGTATGCCACCCTGGTTCCCGCCACCTACAACTCGGTCATCAACCCCGTAATTTACGCCTTCCGCAATCAAGAGATCCAGAAAACTTTGTGGCTGGTGTGCTGCGGATGTATCCCTGCCAGCGTGGCCCAGCGGGCACGGACCCCCAGCGACGTCTGATGTGCCTATATAGGGAATTACACAGGCCAGAGAATCCCCCAATCCCTGGGACGAGAAGGGGCGTGCGTGTCACCCGTTTATGTCTTCCCCTACGTGTTATGTGACAACCACTGCCACACAATATTTGCCTGATCCCACTCCGACCAGCTGACACACCCTTTCCAGGAAAAAAAGGGGGCGCAAACGGATGCTGTGTGACAGGCAGCTGTAAATATCTTGTATATATATATATATATATGCCTTTGCATTTTTGTGCTTGTTTTGGCTTGGCCACAGCGACAGCCCCCTGTTGCACGGGCTGTGAGGGAGAAGGAGGATGAGGGGCAGCACGAGGCGGTCCTCTTGACTGGACCCTGAAGCTCATTCATCTCGTCCTGCTGTTGCTGCATTCAAGAAATTCAAGAAGTAACCGCGGTGTGCTAAAAATAGACTAGGTGCTCGGTGATCTGCGCCTTGCGTCCTCCGAAGAAACCTACCTGGAGAATGCGTGCACCGTGCACGTGTGAAAGAGGCGCGCACTCTCTCCTCTGTTTGATTTAAATCTCATCCCAAGCGTGGCCGAATGTAAAATGTCCTCCAAAGCAGAAAACCACGAAGAGCTAACTTCAATCTCAGAACGAGAACCACTCTATAAATAACCGAACCCATTGATGCCTTTACTTTGGTTTAGAACGGAAGTCGAACTGTCTCTGAATTCTCTTCCATAAACGCTGGATGAAAGCGACTGGGAGAAAATGTATGTGTTCATTTAAACAGCCCCCTGTGAATAGAGGCTCACTTCAAAGAACTGTTGAGTACAAAACGTGCATTAAGTGGCTGAGAATAAGAGGTTTGTTTATATGCAACGACATGGAGGATGGAACCGAATGTATTTTCTATTGATTTGCTTTTAATTTGCATTGTCTGAACGCTCTGAATAGAGCACTGCTCCATTTATTATGTTCAACTGGTAATTACTACTGGATATGGGATAGCTGTCACACAATGGCAGTTCACAGCATTTTGCTTGAAATTTACATGTATTGCATTTGTAAAGAATGATTTGGGCACAACATTGAGATAAATTAATTAGAGATATTTAGTTTGAAACTTGAGTGAATCTTGTCAACAACATGTCTGGATCATTTCATCCAAAAATCAAGAGAAAAAAATTATTGCACTTTGACATTATTTTCACAATAAATGATTCAAATGATTCACATAAATTTAAATTCCAAAAACAACAACAACAACCTTGAAAAATGTATCATGATTTCCACAAAAATATTAAGCAGCAGAACACTATTTCAACAGTTTTCAACATTGCTAATAATAAGAAATAACATATGACATTTATATGAGCCATATATCTAAAATATTTTTATGAATTATATAGTATGTATTATATATAATATTATATAATACATAATCTAATTATATAATTGATTATGTAATTATAAAATATTATTCTTATATTTAATAGATTAATAAGGTTAGGGTGTAAACATTGACTTATCTATCATGGAAGGCCAACATTTTTTCTTTATGCAAAGTATCTTTTTTCTTTTGATTTTGGGGTAAAATGTGACCAGGACGAGATTTCATGAGATTCACCCTTGATAAATTATATTCTGAAATGATGAAACTGTTAAAAGATATGCCAGCCAAGCTACACTTCCACTCTCAAATGAGCCTTCTATAGATTTACATTCACCTTGATTGTTAGTAAACTGGTGAATCTCCTCAAATGGTCCACACGACACGATTATAATGAATAGAACAGCTGGCCTCTCAGACCTGGCAAATGTCAGATGAGGGAGAATGTTATTATGAAATCTATCTTCTCGAACCTTCATCACAACTGAAGCTGGAGTCATGCTATATTGTGAGCTGAAGTTCACTCCTGCTTTTTACCTTACGCCCTCCAAATGCCAACTAGCCACTATCTATTTCAGTGCTGTGGCAGAATCCATCAGCGAGCAATAACTACGGACTGAGCGTTTCATCAAATTATAGCAATACTCTGGCAGCAATAACAGCCATGCCCAAGCAAAACCCAACACCTCAGCTAGCCGGGAAAATTAAAAAAAAAAAATACGAGTGGATTCCAAGAACGACTGACAACTGTACTTATTTCGTCGTCATCCAAATGATATTAATGGTCAGAAACTGGACAGATGTCCCAATCCCTGTAAACATAATCTCACAGCCTTGTGTTCTCTCGTCCAGAAAATGACTGTGCCTGCAGTCATTTACGGTATCTAACTATGAATGAAATCTCTCTGTACACTCAATGTGACCTACTCCGCAGTATGCATTTGCTTTTGTGAACCTTAGAGATGTTTATAATGTGTGAGGAATGTGATGTGTAAGGTGTGACTGCCGGTGCATGGCCGCGCGTGTGTGTGTACGTGTGAATGCATGCATATATGTTCGTATCTCCAGGGACAATGATGTAGTTGGGGGTAATAATGTATATTCCCCATAGACCTGCATGGGCTAGAGTGGCTACCAGTCTTCCCATCGCACCCTCTTTACATCGTGCCTGCGGGTCGGACACACCCTCGTGACCTTTTTTGCCTGAGTGACTTCTATACGATTCCACTGAAACAGCACATGTGCGGTAGCGAGCAGGTATGCGAGTTTTAATAGGGCTTAGCATGGAGGCAATGACCGGTCTGTTGCAGGCCTCGACTGACTTTTGAGGAATAATTTATTCTGCTATATTCATCGAAAGTCTCTATTTTTTCCCCCTCAGTCTGGATTCTCTTGGAATTCCTGAGATTTTATTTTGTATTCTGATGCGCTGTATGGTCTCTTCTGAATGTATCGACAAAGACATTCTTATCATTGCTATGGCCGATCGTCTTGATCCTGTAAATAAGGCATGCGACTTTAAGGGGGCATGATGGCAACTCTCACCTGATGTCATGGAGTGATGTGGTGATGACATATTTTTTGTAACCTGAAAGTTAGCATCACCCTGGTTTCCAGTCACAAAATACCAATAGGATTTTTCCAGTGGGTTTTGGATTATTGCAGAAAATAAGCTCTGTGACCAACAAAAATCCTGATAATCATCATTATAATCTTATATCTTAAATATGGTGCTACCCTGACTAGTGACTAGACTAGAATAGTTTGCAAGAGCGCGATTATAAATCCTTTTAGGCCGTAACAGAGAACTAAAAGCAAACTACAAGTAGATGAATTTCCCTGTTTGGCGTGATGTCATTTAAAGCAACTGTATGTAGTTTTGTGTATTTTTGCGACTTTTGGAGCCCCATACAGTTAAGTGAGTGGAATTCACTGTCGTAAATATATCACTGTGGCAATAACAATGGCTAGCGGTTTAAGTGCATTTGTTGCTGTCTTAAAGCAATCCTTAAAGCAATTTCGTACCCTCGCCTAAACATACTCCAGATGTTTGGCTTTTTAGAATGATTTTGAAACTGATATTTCAAGGTCAAAAACACCACCAACAACAACAAACATACATACAGTTTCTTTAAAGTCCACTGAAAGTCCCATTTAGCTTCTTGTTAGCAACCAGCTTTTTCAAGACAGGTAAAAGCTTTAAAATATTACAAGGGGGTTTTATTGATGTATTTTATCTTGTAGAATAAAACGTGAAAATATCTTGAGCTTGTGTTAATCACAGACCTTATTTCAGGCATTGACCCACTGACTTCAGAACAATCAAACCAGAAATAAGAAAAATCTTATTTCCTGTTAAGGCCTACAAAAATACGTCATTCCAGCAATGCTCTATCTGAAACAGTAAACCAGTTGAGCCACATTCCAGTGTCTCCTATTGCCTGAGCATGCTTGTCTACAGTGGATTGAGAGGGTTAATGCTTGATGCACAGCCGTTTGGTCAGAAATGACCGAGGGAATAAACATCATATCTCCATCTGTTTTTGAAAAGAGCTTTGCAAAATGATGTTATCATGCTTTGTGCCTGGTCTCTGATGGATTTTCCACATGCAGATGGACGTTTGGCTATTGAGTCTTTGATTTCAATAGACTTGTATCCAACTGTAGATGACTGTGCTCTGTAATCCCATGTAAGAGCTTGGAAATGTCAAACCGAAGGGCAAAAAAGGGCTCGGATGGGAGTCTGTCTCCTATTCTGGTTTATTTGAAGAGGAAAGAAGAGAAAATCATGTCTGGTTTGGTGTCTTGTGAGCAAACTTTCTACATTTACACTAAGATTCAGACTTGTTCTGTACTTTATTTAGTTACTAGAATCAAAATCTTGGAACAATCTGAGGGGCAGTCGGGTGCATTGGTTTCAGCATCTTGTGTACACGTATGTGTAGTTTTAACTGTGAAATGCACTTTATTTTTTTGATGAGAAAAGGCACAACAAATTACTTATCTGCAAAACAATATTATAAGAATTATAATCAACATGCACTAATTAACATTGTAAGACATTGTGTTAACGTGTTGTATATTTTTCCAAGGTGTTGGTTGTATACTTTTATTGCTTTGGTTAGTTTAATGAACTGAGAAATCTTCTTAATTTTGTATTAAAAAGAATGTGCTGTGCATTAAAAATATCCTTGCCTGGGTTTATTCACACTCGCACATCATTTGGCCGAATGCCTCAAATCCACTGTTGCCATGGCGATTCCCAGTCTCAGCTGTACTGTTTCCATAGAGACAGGAGTCTCGGAATCAAAACTGTCCTGTTTCCATGACGAAGGCACTCAGGGGCAGGAACAGAGAGCGTTTTAATGTGATTAGTCGCATTTATATTGTGGCAACTGCCACACATGCACGCAAAAACCAGACATCACTGAGCGAACACATTTCAGGTAGTTTAATCAAATACCTCAGGTCAGTTCAGACAAATATAATTACTGACCGGAATGTTTCTCAACATACATAGAAACTTTCATGCAGAAACCTCTGACCTCAACATGCTTATTTAGCTGTAGTTTGAGTTGCTATTCACTACATACATTACGTCCATATAATTTATTAACAAGTGTTGCATTAAAAAGCATTAGAAAAATGGAAAAAGCATCATACGTGGAGTAGTTGAGGGAAAAAATGGACTATTTTAGTATTTCATAATACAGACGGTCTACCACGCTTTTATTAAAATGCATACTGTACAAGATCATTGTGTGCATGGGAAATGCAATGCTAACATTCGCAGGTGAATTAG